TATATATTTAATATATATATATATTTAATATATATATATATTTAATATATATATATATATATATATATATTTTTCATAAAAATTAAATATATCGAATATATTGACATTTGGTGCTCACCTATCAGCGGGTGTACATATATAAATGAACCTCGAAGCCAAGGCATGTGTTTGATCTTTGGTTTTCAGTACCTTTGTAACATAAAACCCGACAGCCCAAAGCATGTTGTCATTGGTGTCAAAAGGCACAGTTTCGCGCCACACTCGAAGATTGTGCTAATATGCATACCAAAAGCGCATGCATAATAATTAAAAGAGATTTTATCTTCGAAGTCCATGGATAAATGTTCACAAAAACTACAACCATTGAAGGTAAATCATCCCATTTTTTTGCCATTATATACTCATGAAATACATATATTGCATATTGTATACATCGCACGTCATGCCAGACTGTTAAGTATTATTTTTGCGCGGGGAACTTTTCCGTCGTAAATGGCAGTTGCGTGGAAATGAAGGCAGAACATTTGATAATGGTTGCCATGGTTGGCGTCGAGTGGGAAAATTTGGATGGAGTCTCTATAGATTGTCTGCAATGGCATTTTCAGATAAGTCCCAACACATAAGAGACAAAATAAATCATTAGTTCATCAAAAATATGCAGATTTAGTATGATTTTCTTGAAAATGCGCGGACAGAAATTCAGCTAAAATTTCTGCGCAGGGAACGCGGCAGGCTGAACTTGACAGTCATATAGGCTGATATAGCCAAGCAGTTCTGCCTATAATTTCAACGCGTTTATGCCATAAGTTTGTATTGTTAACACTCTACGACCACCACAAGTGGCTGGGCTATGATTTGCACAAATTCGCACCAGGTCTCACGTAGATTATTATGAATATAACATTCTAACTGCACTGCTGCTTTGCATTTATTTAAACACTTCGAATTACTCCTTAATCGTCGATATAACAATGTCGATCGTACGATGAAAGAATGTGTAGTACGATAAATATAAGTACAAGGTTTACTGATTTCAGATCTGCAGGTTTTTACATTCCTTTTGATAATGTATATATTGCAATGAAAGACAAGTATATAAGCACATTAAAGTAGGTATTAGTATACGTACTGTTTTGACATATTTACATATTTTGATCAGTTGTAACTATTTTAATCTCTAGATTATTGTCCTACATGTAGTTGGTAAATTTAATGTAGGCAATGAACTAATATTGGTATTTCTTTTTGCTTGATTAAGTTATTTATGTTAAAACACAATCACTATAATTAGGGAGGCATCCATCTCGTATGTGCATGCCAAGCCTTGATCTGTTATATATCTATGTCACTTGTCGCACACCAAGCCAAAACGCTGCATGCAAACTGACAGCAAAAATTGATCACGGAAGGATATCTTGATTAGAAAAACACTGTCGGCCTTTCGCTTTTTTATTTTTAGCCTCGGAGACTACTTCAATTACTAGTAACCGCTATTGACTATTGTTGCTGCACTTATTTGAACACAAAGTACAAAATCCAAATCCACTAATTATTAAACCAACCAAGTCCTATTTTCAACATGTGTTACACACAGAGTTGAACTATTAGAACTAAAAGCTCTCTCCACTCTGTAAAAACAAATTGGTTAAATTTTAACCGATTTCTGTTACAGTGCTATTTGTTTTACATCTCACATCAGCATTTCATCATTTGGAAGTTGGAACGGAAATACTACTTTGTTGCATCAACAGCTGTTTCAATGTAAAAATTTTCAAATTACGATGACTGTTGACATTCTTGTCATGCTACGAATATTTTCAGTATAACACGGTTGCATCTGGACGCGGTTAGATTTCCATCATTGAACACGTTCCGGACGCTGGTAAAAACGTGGGGGTATGGCGTTCCATTGCGGACAAAAATATGAGTTAAATATTTTCAGATAGAAGTTGAGAATACGATAATCGAAGTCGAGAATACGATAATCGAAGCCGAGAATACGATAATCGAAGTCGAGAATACGATAATCGAAGTCGAGAATACGATATTCGAAGTCCAAAATACGATATTCGGAGTCGACTTTTTTTCATCGAAGTCGAGAGGAAGTGAAAAAATAATATTCGAGAGGATAGAGAAGTTGTCAGGATGAAACCGGAAATAGGGATTTATTGCCTGGGGACAAAGTTCCGTAGGTAGTAAAAAACTAAAAATAAACAGGCCGGCAAACCCCCAAAATTTCCTGCGCTACCTCGAGAAATGTGTTCACTGTTCAGTTTGGCGGAACAACAAGAAGAAACATTCAGCGAATAGTAGCAGCTGTAATAAGCAATTTGCATAGTGTCCCCAGCTTATCGGAGGCCAACTTGAGTAGTGGGAACTCTTCCAACCGGTTTGGATCAAGAGAAGAAGAAATACGAAATGTATTTTCTATACCAAGAAATGCGGCAAGTCCAGCGACTGTTGCAAATGGTGTTGACGGCAATGAAGCTTCTTTGTCCAGCCAAAATACATCTGTTGCAGGTAGCAGTAGCTTTCAATGTGCTTCATTTCCATGCTCCATTTACAAGTTATTCGCACTTGCGGAATTACAGTCAAGGAAAAGGCAAAATAAGGAAGGGGAAGCAAGCAGCTCGTTCAACATCAACAGGTTGATTTGAAAAAGGTGCTGGTTTGGGTGGGCAAGGAAAACAGTGCGAGCCGACATTCAAAGATGTTTGCCTGTTGCCTTCGCCAAATTGGGGAACTGTACCCAGACTTAAGGCGAGAGCCAATCTTATTGAGAAAGGCTTGTATATTGATGCCTGGTCTTTTCAGAAGACATACCAGGAAACTCAACTCAGGGTGGCGATAAGCTCTCTATTTCACGAGCGTCTCAGTGGCGTAGCCAGAATGATAATTGGGGGGGGGGCATGGTATGTGAACACGAATATATGAATATGGGCCCCCCAATTATCGTTCTGGCTACGCCACTGGAGCGTCTTGTCGACAACCATGGAGTTGCACAGCCAATATATTTGGATATAAGCGCATGTGCCTTCAGGGTAATAGGACAGACTGGTATGTCTGATGTACCAGTAAATTTATATTTCATAATTTGGGGTAAGAACCTTTCAAACTCATACAAAGCTTAGAAAATCAGAAACACTAATAATTCGATTATTTAAATTAATTTGTATTTATTTTTCAGCTTTGAATTTGTGAGAAGTGTTGGAACTGATGCTCTCTCAATCACAATTCAGCAGGGACAAGAACTATCTGGTCGTGTGATAAAACACATAACTGGAAATGGCCCTATATATATTAGAGCACTTGAAGACCTGGCCTGCTTACATGAAAAGGTAAAATAATGTAATGTAAAACAGCATTAATTAGACTACATTATGGTTTAGTTTTCGAGAGGGTGTTCCAAAAATTATTCATTTTCGGGCGTACTGGATGGGTTTACATTCCCCTTAGCAGCTGAGATTATAGGATGAGATATTTAAGAGGGTGTCCATGAAAGGACCATGCAAATGGTGATAAACGTCAACTCACAGAATTTGCTCAAATTTGGCACATATATAGAGGATATTAAGTATCTGATCTGATAAAAGTTTGAGGTAAAAATATTGCACGGTAACGGAATTATTCACCCCCCATCATTTTGGGTCGTTTTTGGCTCCAAAAATGCCCTTTGCTAAGTAATATTTAGTACATTATAAAATTATAAAAACACACTCAAATGAAATGATATTTCGGCCGCTAAACTACAAGACACACGGCTTTCATAATATGCAATTGTTTATGCCATCCACTAGGGCTAGTTGTCATGGCAACACCAAAAATAAGAGACAGTTTTTTCCATTTTTCGTTAAATTTTTTTTTGGACCATTTTGAGAGCGAATATCTCCGTTGAACAACTTGATTGAAGTATAATTGACACACAGTTATTAAAAGCTGTCCATACACTTGGTTAAACAACAACAAAAATTTGGGGATATTTAATACATTTCTCACGGCCAAGCAACAAATATACCCTATGGTGAACATTTGCATAATGTTAAAAAAATTCATAACACAGAACAAACTGCTTAACTGTAAAGTCTGTATACAATTACTCGTCAGACATGCAAATAATGTCATTAAACAACATTGAATTATCTGACAAAAGAATAATGAGCAATTTTACAAGCAGGAATAGAAGAAAAATTAAATAATATATTAATTATCGTGCACATTAACGGAACCGAGTAACAACGATATAAATATAATATTCTTTATAAATGCACTGACTGAAAAATAGATTTATAATATGAAAAACGTAAAAATAATACTCACATAGAAGACTTGTTCTGATACTTGAAGCAGTGCGAGGGTAGTTTATATACTACCTAAAGTCCTAATACTACAACAGCCGTTTCGATGTATTTTGAAATATATTATATAATTGCTATATTTACATATCTTTTCCAATGCTTTCCTTTTGCTATTAAACTAATACTGATAATTGTGATTGAAATAAAGGAGAAAGGGTTATCTCAAGGCAAGCAAAATTCTTTTAAATAGCTGTCATGAACAAATCAACTGAAAAGGCCGCCATCGTGGAAAATATTTTCTCGGTCAGCGGGTTTCCTCACGATAGTTTGGTATATACTTCGTGTGACCCCTATTATTATGTATCAGGGCTGATACCTGACCCCCACCCTAACCCAGCCTCTAACCTCTAACGCTGCGTTATATAATTTAAATATATTAATTACGTGCAACATAATTGTTTTAATTCTTGATTTTTTTATTTTGTTGGTTCTATGTTTTGAAACTGCATCTTAAAGGGGCCCTACAGTCATTTTTTAGTCGAAAAGCCACCTTAAGTAATGTTTACATTTTTTGTTATTGTCGCTATTTGACATGCGCACCACGGCATGCATGCATCTTCCGGTGTGCGGAAGTACTCATACTCATGGATACTGTATGCATGTAAGATACAGCCAAACGAATCTCCGTGGAGTCCCCTACTTAAGGTGGCTTTTCGACTAAAAAAATGACTGTAGGGCCCCTTTAATGAAAGCTTAATAACTTGGTCAAAAAATTGGGATAAGAACTTTGTATTATGTATATTCTATTTTAAACTAGTGAATGTCAAGAGCCAAAAGTAAATCATGTGATCATCCATTGCAAATA